CTCTTGTTCATGTCCTTGTACATCGTTCTTGTTGGACTAAGGAAAAATTATCAGAATTGCAAGCAGTAAACGTTTTGCCTCATCCTGCCTATAGAACAGATATTGCACCATCAGATTATGGTTTGTTTAGATCAATGGCTTATTTTTTAAAAGTTCGGGTGTTTGATAATTATGAGGACATAAAAAGTTTATGTGAAGAAGAGTTCTTCGTCCCAAAACCAATTACTGGCAGAAAGATGGATGAAAGTAGTTGAAAACAAGATACTTTACTCTGAAGAATGGTATTCAATAATGTTTAAAATGTGTAATATGAATAAAGCGGTTTATCAAATCTGTGTGGATAAGTATAGGCGCTACGAGGACTTTTGAACAACCTAGTAGAACCAGTCGAGTCTCAGTGACCAAATTCGTGTCATAAGTTTCTACCATAAAGATAATAAACATTAAAAAGTCACTTTAGTGATATTCAACATCAGAAATCGCCAGAAACTACTTTATGACGTTTTTGAAAATTATATTATAAAAGGATAAAGTTTTCAAAATTGAAATTTCTAGCACATAGTGCACTGACAGAGCTATGGAAGAAAAGAAAAAATCAAAGGTGAGTTTTTTTAATTTTTACATTTTTAAATCTCTAAAAGTCTCGTTTTACATTAATTTTACGATTTTTTTTAAACCACTTTCCTCCCTTCTTAGTAGTCCAGTCAAGTAATGAGGTATAGAGTGCTTGAGGTGAAACCTAAGCAATTTCTTCAGAAACTTGTTCAGGGTGCCTCTTTTTATGGCTCACACTTTTTTCTCAATTTCTCACACTTCATTTTTAATTAGTTTTTTGACTGAAAACATGTTTTGAGAAAATATTTGGTAATTTTGTAGATATTAAACCATAATAAAAACTGAAATAATGGTGAGGACTTTTTCTACTGAAAAGTTGAATATTATATTTTACAGATAATAAAAAGTCTCATGATAATTCTATTCTATTTTGATACATTAAATATAAACAATTATTAACCTCATTGTTAACAATATTGCAATCACAACTTTATAAGGATTCACGTTTTCATTCACTTTGGACGTGCAGGTCCTGGCAAGGGTTCGTGGCATCTTCACCCTCAGTTGTGATACATTTTGGGCCAAACCCCCCTACCTTGCACTTCCCCCACATCCCTATAAATTACACATCCTTGTATTCCTTGTAACTATTTATTTAAAAAAAGCCAATGGTCTCACAAAAAAAGTTAACGCACTGTAAAATCCAATATTAAATTTTTCACTTGATTTTTTTTTACTTTATTTAATAATTGGATTTAAAGTGTTGCTACACATATTATTAGACAAATGATCAACAGTTGTGAGTCAAGAATATGATAAAAAAAACAACTTTTTCTGAAAATGACAACATTTTACCTAAAATTTTAAAATAGCTGTAACTGTAGACGAGATTAATTTACATATGTGTATATATATATATATATATATATATATATATATATATATATATATTCTAATAGGGAATTTAAGCATATACAACTTCTATAAAATATTTCATTGATGTAGCTTAGGAATATGAAATTTGAAATATGAAGGAAAGTTTGATAAAAAATGTGAGGTAAAATGGTTTTATCAAAAAGGTCAACTTTTTCCGAGTGTGTAGCTCAAAAACGGTTGAAAATTATGGAAAACCTATAGAATAAAAGTTTTGGATAATTTTATAAACTTTAATTTACTATACAAACAATTTTACCTGCGACGAACTATTTTCGAGATATAAGTGGAAACCTGAAAATTGTGACCTTTCCTCCCCCCTTCTCTTCCCAGCTCACCACCTTAATGTTAAGACTTTTGATATGTCCACATCCTTAGCACTCTGAACAAGTTTTAGAAGGAATTGCTTAGGTCTCCGCTCACACACTCTACAGTCCCTTTTGATCCATTCATTGACTGGACTAAAGGTAATGTGTTGATCGAAATAAATGTAGAAAAAATCCTCATCTTTATTTCAGTTTTTATTTTGATTTAATATCTACAAAATTACCAGATATTTTCTCAAAACATGTTTTCAGTCACTAGCTGATCAGAATACATATGCAGCTTACTTATTAGGGGGACAATACTGAATAAACGAAAATGTCAGGTAGATAAGTGATCTCAAACTCAATAATATTATACTAAATAGTTTATTGTTATTAAAATTTATAAATGAAATGCAATATATATAACAATTTAAAATAAAAAATTTTATTGGGATTTTGACAAACCTTTTTACAACCTCTTCTTTCAAATTATTTAAGGGGGGGGGGAACGTTTTCAACGGAAATATGCATTTTGAGGTTCCTGAGTTAAGAAACAAAACAAAGTTTTGCAAAATGATGTGTTTGTGTGCGTGTGCGCAGTCTAGCTCAAAAATGTTAAGTGAAGAAACTGAAATTACGTATTTAAGATAGGATATTACAACAACTTGCCAAAATCGGCTTCCCGGAAGTGGCACTTTATATCATTGAATTTACTCATTTGTACAATTTTCTCTATAAATGCCTCTTAAGATTTGTATTAAACTTGTTATATCTATGTGAAATTAAGTAGTATTTGATATCAGATAGATATTATCTCCTATTATTATTATCCCATATTATTATCTTGAAATAATATGGCAGGGCTGAAATACTGAATTTTCAAAATTTCTTCCTCTAAAGTACCTTTAATTTTGTTTTACTGAACCATTTCACATTGGAACTAGTAATACAAAATGGTAAAATATAAACAATGAAAAAATGTTATTATTAATTAAAGGGGAAATAGAACTGTTGAGGTGGGAACTAGATCATACGAACAGTCGAGAAATATTGGACACCCCTCTGTACTTGTTTATTCTTGGTGCTACAACGTTGTCTTAGCCATACCCGTCTGTATGGGTCATATTTTACTAACAAGTTAAACTATTAACTATTATATCTCACTTAACAATCATTTTCATAGAATATTTTCACAAGAAAAGGATCTAATAATATAAATCTATAATATACAATATATATGAATATCAACTCATTTTTTCTGAGTTTTGTGATGGATGTTTCTGATGAAGCTCCAAAGTTTTCTAAAAGCTCCAGTTTTACCCATAATCACTAATATTATATGCAGTCTTCAAAGAAAATGGAAGTTGATGCAAATGTTTACACTCAACTGTTTGGGTGAGTGGAAAAAATATAATAATTATTTTCTTTAATTAAATATATCATGCTGTCTATAATTTTTACTTTCACTTTAATATAAATTTCACGTTCCTAATGTACAGTCAAGGCCTATACCAACACAAACCATTCGTAATCGTTTGGGAGAAGTTGGTCTAACATCTTATGCCCCTTTAAGAGGACCTGCAACTCCGAAGATCATGGTGCAACGAGATTCTAAACAGAGGTACTCAGAAGGAGTTTTTGGGGGGGGGGGAGGTGCAAGTTGTGCCATCAAAATTTTTGTAGTGGCATATGTTGGGGCGTTTTTGAATATTTGAGGAGGGACATATTTTGGCGGGGTTAGAAATTTTCGGAATGAAAATGAACTACACAGCAAGTGTAATTGTGTATGATCCAAAATTTTTCTAATTCTACCTTTGCTTGCTCTGTTTTTAAGAAAAAGTGATCAATAAAATATATTGTCAGTGGGGAATAGGTTCTTACACCATCGACCTTGGGGAGAACGGGCACTCCTGATCCTAGATGAGGATAAAAATTGCTGTTATGTTTAGACAAGCCAGGAGGACCGACTCTATTCCATATTATGGAAGGTAATCTCATTGTAGTTTGTGTTGTTCAAGAAATTATAGAGTACACTCCTCAAAATAGGGCCTTAATTGGTACCAATTTCTATTTTCTTGACAACAGTACGTTCATATGGGAAAAGTTGTTCATAAATGTCTTGAAAATCTGGATATTTCACATCTTCCTCTTCCTGAATTGTCTCCAGATCTCAATCCCATTGAGAACATGTGGAATGCACTGCAAAGAAGGCTTTTTGACCACCATTGGTAGTTCTTAACCTTCGGCAACTAAAAGCGGTATTACTATTTTTATGGAATGAAATTCCTTGTGAAAAAATAAACAGTATGCTCAATAGGTGGAGAGAGGAAATGCTTAATAGAAGATATTACACAAACTATTCAATTTTACACAATGTTTACAATTTGCAATCATAAAACAATATCACATAAACCTTTAATTTTATTATTTTTTTAAAACACCTTTTGTAAAATTTCCTGAGGTCAAATACAATCTCATTTATATTAATTTTCAATGTATTTTCTGATAAAAATAAAATAAAAATTATAAGAAATATTCTGAATTATTTTTTAGCAGTTTTTTATTTTTTAGTAGTATTTTATATCCATAAAAAATTATAGGTAGATTTTGTGTATGTGTGTGTTTATTTATATTTATACTAGGCACATATCTTATGTGCACTAAGAGAAATGAGTAATAAGCTTGTTAATAGTGTTTAAGGTTTCAATGAACTCAATATTTTGCAGCAGACAATAAATTTAAACAAATTTTGAAATTATAATCATATCAAGGGTGTAACTGGTGCTTACCTCACATTTCACTGTTATCAATTTAGTTTTTTTTTTTATGGGGTCAATCATATGCTCTTTTTGTAAATTGTCTTATAAGTTCTAATACTGCCTTACTAAATTCTCACATTTGAAGAAGTTAATCAAAACTATCTAATTTTTTTAATAATGGTCTCCCTCTTCTTGAGAATATATATTTGTCATAAGCATGGTTATCTCTTCATCGGGTGTGAAGAAATTCAGTTAACTATCTAATCATTTTAGTAAAAAATTGACTAGGTAGTGTTAGAATTTATACGACAAAATGCTCTATTTTTCTTCTTTTTCTAATAATTATTATTTTTAAAACAAAATTAAAAATTCTTTGTACAGAGAATAATATGCTAGTCTTTTTTTTTTTTTTACTGAAAAATAACGGACCAATTCAAAGTACCATTTGTTATTTGTCCTTAAATGTATAAACTACGACTTTTAGGAATGTACCATTTATTGTTTAGTGTGTTACTTCCATATAAAGTAGTTTTAATCATAGTCATGAAAATATTATAAACACTGAATAATGATTTGGATTATTAATGTTGTCTTAAATGTATTTATTATAAAAAGGAAAATTAATGATTAAATGAACAAAACACTGCATACTAAATATTACAGTTATATTTATTTATAATTATTAATTGGAGCTTCTCTTAATGAACAAGTTATTCACAAATCAATTACATGTTTAGCATCTAATCATTATTTTCAACTAAGACATGATGCTAGAAAAATTTCTTGTTTCATACGAAATCCAGATGTATTAAAAATAATAAAATAAGACCATTATGTTACAACACTGTTTTTTTAATGTAATAATTTGTTGCCTTAAATAATTTTAGTATGAAATGCAAAATTTTCTTATTTGGATATGAATAGAATATTAAGTACATATTAAACTTTTTGTTATGGAATGAGAATTCCAAAATCATAGGTACATTATGATTATTTTTTAAAGATATTATTATAAGCAAATTGGTTGGAAAGAGACAAACTCTTTTCTTTATCATTGTTGTTTTGTTTTTTAAAATCCAAATTATTTAATTTTGGTTTCCTAGGTGAAATTTGAACATTTATAAAAATAATCTTCTAATCATATTGCTTACTTTTAATATGTAAAATCGTTAGGATGGTAACTTAAATATTCCTGAGAAAGTTCATTATTTAAAGACTTTTTTCGTTGATTTGATTACAGGATTTTTTATATCAATCAAACAAAGCGCCATGAACCACATTGTCTTCAACTTGGTAAAAAATTTACTTCTAGACATTTTAAAAACTTTGTATCAATTATACACAAATTTCTTGTATTATAGGATAATTATATCAATAAAGTTTGTGGCCTTCAAGCTATGGATGATTTAAATTTTATTAATAGTGCCTTCACAAACCAGTGTAATATATCTTAGGATGGTGTACAAGGGGCTTGTGATAGCATACACTTTTTTTGAATTTAATTATGGTTAAGTTATTAAATTAATTATTTGAAGATTGAGTCAGTGCTGATTGACACACACATATAGAGGACGGTAGAGGATGACTGGTTCAGGCCTGACACTGGTACCATCATACACTTGTCCAAGGAGGAATTCTGGACCTACATACATGCCACCTTCAACATGACTGCTTGCTACACCTGTAAAGTAATTGAAAATTTACTAAAAATAATATCAATTGTTTACTTTTATTTTTATGTATTAATGGATTTAATGCCTTTAAATAGTAGAATATACGTCTAGAATGAGGTCCACATTTATTATTTGGCTTGACTATGAAATAAATGTCAACTCACAGATTTTAAACTGGGTCCACTATATTTAAACTTGCCCATTGTTGCTCTAATATGCTCAGTTTCTATTACCATTTTTTAATCTATGAAAAATCTTTTAAAATATAATGATAAATATTAAATTGATCTTTATTTTAGAAATATTTTCATTTACAGAAGCCTCGTTACTTTTAATACTCTATAATAAAAGCCACAGAGAGGTATTGGTTTGTTCTACTATTAGTAATGGTAGTTCTTAGGTACTGTATTATCTCTGCTATTAAATTTTTTCACGTTATTTTATTTTACTTTTACACAGTAATAAACTAATAGTAGTAGTTCTGTCCAGGATTATATTTATGAAACTGGTTCCATTTGTTTATAGAGAGATTGGTAGGTATCAGTTTAGTTTTAGAAGGGGTAGATATTCTATATTAAAGGTGGATCAGATATTCAGCATCAGGGTGGTCCTAGAAAAATCACCATCCATCCATGAGTACTGGAATATTTCATACCAGCTGTTTGTTGATTTTCAAGATACTTAAGGCTGAATGAAAAGACCTAAGTTATATGCAGCCCTCTGCTAAATGTAAATACTGTTGAAACTTCTGAGTCTAATCGGGATGACAATGTTTGACAAGAGTTTTGCTTTTACGGTACAATCAGACGTTTCACTAGAGTTTGTTTTTGTAAAAGGTGTCAGATAGAGTGGTAGGCTTGCCTGTCTGCTGTTTAATTTAGCTTTAAAAAAGATCATAGGTGACTCAGTAATACAGACAAACACTATTCTTAATAAGTCTGTTTAACTATTTGATTTTGTAGATGATCTAAATCTCATTGCAGGATCCTTCCAGTCACTCATAAATGAGTTTGTTAAGTTGACTGAAGCTTCAAAAGAGGTGGGAATGATTCGTAATCAAGAAAGAAACAAATATTTTTGGAAAGGACATAAATATTTTTGGAAACAGAACCTGTTGAAATGGGTCCGTTTACTTTCTGTCATGTGGATGAGTTTGAGTATCTGGGATCAGTGATAACATCCAGGAATAGAATTCCTGTGGAAATTCGTCAACGACTCGTTAATGGCTACAGATACTATTTTGGCCTGAACAGACATCTTAAAATTTCATGATTATTCTGCTTTAACAAATGTCAATTGTATAGAACCCTCATCAGGCCTGTCCTAACTTACAGCTTGGAGTCCTGGACTCTCACAAGTTAAGAGAAAAAGGCCCTTCTTATTTCAGAAAGGGAAATTCTTTGCGGGATATTTTCAGCTGTGAAGGAGGATAACAATAGGAGATGAAGAATGAATCTCCAAATCTTTAGGGCTCTATGGAGGGGCGGATTTAATGATGTATGTAAGATTGGGCAGACTATGTTAAGCTGGCCACATTGCACGAATGCCAATAGAGGAGATCTCAAGGAAGTTGTGGGATAGGAGACTATATAAGACTAGAAGACAAGACAGGCCTCGATTAAGATGGGAGGAAGGAGTAGCGAGGGATGCTTGGAAGCTGCTGGGCACCCGCAATTGGTGAGGGGCTGCCTAGGATCATTTGACCTGGCAAAGACTCATTGAGGAGGCCAAAAACAGCACCAATCTGTAGCATCACGGAGTAGTAGTAATACGATCATTTTCAACAAAAAAATATTACTAAGCATGTTAGTTGGATCTGTTTCCTGATTAAAATTATCTTTTATTTGTCAAAGAATATATTTTTATAATCATTATGTTCAAAATATCACAGCTCTAGCAATTAATTGAATTTAAAATATTTAACTAGCTAACTTTTATTTTTTTGTGGAACTCCATACGAACAAAAAAAGGTTTTTTTTGTCCTCCCTTCCTCGCCTTTTAGGCTATATGGTTTTTTTTCCCAGGCCAGAGGTGAGGGTTGAGGAATAGCGCCAGAGTTAAAAGTGAACTCAAGCTTTCGTTATGAAAATATTTTCGACAAGATTTAGTTTGTAACAGAATGTCTATTACATTGATTTAAAGTCTCTTCTTTAAAAATAAAAACCATAAAAATAACAAATTTTTCTTTTTATTTAAAAAAACAAAACAAATATTTTCACTTAAAATGTTTTAAATACTCACTGTAATGTATGGCTGATTCTTGTTTGGAATTGGGAATTCTAAAAGGCACAGTTGCTACTGTTAAAGGAAAATGCATTTGTAAACCTTCTCCAGATTTTTCAAAATCTAGCCCTACCTGTAAATAATTTCATAATTAATTTTAAGTAATTAATTTATTCTTACAAATATTTATAAAATGTTTTTCATTCTTTCAGAATTGGGAAACAATTTTTTTTTAAATTTCATAAAAAACATAAATACAAGTAGTTCAACAAGATTAAATTAAGTTATAATCAAATTAGGTTTGATATTGTCTTATATTATCATTAGTATCTTTTGCACAAAGTGGAAACTGCTTAGTTAATAGAGTTTTTGAATGATTATAAAGCAAGAATATTGAAAAAATGCTAGGTTTTACAAGATTTGTTTACTATTTAAGAAGTTAAAATATTACTCTCTTAAAAAAGAAAAAAGGAGGACAAGCTTTGAGCTAATTGTTACAGACTTATCTACCTCCTCCTTGCTCTGACTGAAGTATTAGAGGTTGCTAATTAAGAGCTTCCAGCCACAGCATTATTGATCCACCAAAGTTTTGGGAAATGCTAATACACTTTCATGAATTCACTGTGAATGGCAGAGGCACAGCAATGTGTTAACGAAGAGGAATACTTAGCCAATGTCCAAAGATCAAGAGACTCTCTTAAATTTTTTTTTAGTTCTAGATAGAAATAGAAATATTTCTAGAAAGAAACACTAGAGGAATCAAAAATACTAGAGATAACAATAATGATTATTATTATTTATTAGTTGTACATATTTGTGGCTCACAATAAATTTGCCATCTACCTTAATTAATCTAAACAATAATTAAGGAAAAATAAATGAAGAAACAAAAAACTAATGGTATTAGAGCAGATATTATTCTTAGGAGAAATGTCTTGAACATAATATGACTTAAGTAGATTAAGTAGTTTCTACTAATGAATTCAGTTAGTCTTCAGTGTTGCGACTGATTCTCATTGAACCCTGAACAACATCCTTTTCATTTAATTTGTCTGGATTGTCATTACTGAACTGAAATTTGAATTTGTTTTTTTATTCTATAAACAAAAGTTGTGAATTAAAAAAAAAAATGGATAGTATATGATTGTTCCAAGCTTTTGACAAATCTGCAAATGATAAAATTGTAACACTAAAGAAATAACATTTTTCTCAGTTTTTATTGGAATAATCAAACATGATGTTTAAACTGTACCTTGAGTACGTAGTATATCTGTAGAAGACGACACAAACCCACCAAGGATGGTGGAACAACCGGTAATATAAGTTCTTGTCCTGAATCCCACTTAGTACTTGAACAAGGTGGAATAGCTTCACCTTTATATTCAAGAACAAGGTGGTCTATTTCCTTTGTCACACCTGACACTCCTCTCTCAATAAAATATTCTACATACTGAAAATTGATACAAAACAATTATTAATGCATTATATCATCAGTTTCAAAAAGTAATGAGGACAAAAATATGCTTGATGCTATAAATATGTTTTCCGCATTAAGATTTGATGAAGTTGTGTTTTACCTGAACTAATTTAATAAAAAGTCTCACTTCTTCTTCTCCCTGATTATCAATATTTGTCCTCAAACGTATAGCCTCTCCTGATACATAAGCTGATCTCTCCAGCTCTGTTCTAAAATATCAGCATAAATTATTTCATACACATTTGAAGAAAATGCTATTCATTTTTGTACAGTTAGCTAAATTTGAGTAGTTATTGTTGAAATATAATAAAAAATAAACAAACATTATTTATTTACAATATGTTTTTAAAAGTTCTCAAAGTCATTAAAATCTTCTGATTTACTTTCTTCGTTTTCGATATTCAAAATATTTACAATTTTAAATTTAACAATTTATTTTGTTTCATCAGCTGTGGGATCAGATGGGCAAATGCTACTCTGAGCAACAGGCACTAAGTATTTATCTCAAATTGGGAATCCAATCACTACATCAGTTAATTGTTTGACATCAACTGAAGTAGTAATTAAATTTTTTTGGTACTCAAAAAAGATCAATATTTCAGTTATACACCCGGTACTCAGTACTCAGAGCAGCATTTGCCAATCTCTGGATGTGGGTTGACCCTAATCATGGCTCTGTCAACTCGACCAATCAAAAATACTAGTCTTAGCCTTTTTTCAGCAATTGATTTATAACTCCAAAACTGCATAACTGAATGAGATAATTTCCAAACATGTATGTTTTGAAGCCAAGAATTAGGTTTTGAAATCTGAAAGCTTAGTGGATAAATCCATGTTATGGGCATTTTTCATGTTTATGACTAAAGAATAATTCTTAAATAATAAAAATCCAAGCCAGTTTCAGGGAGTAGTGAAGCTGCACTAATCTCAATACCCTGTGGATATTATACAATATTTCTCCTATTATTTTTAGGGGACTATGTACGTTTTGAAGCCAAGAATTAGGTTTTGAAATCTGAAAGCTTTGTGGGTTAATCCATGTTATAGGCATTTTTCATGTACATGACTAAAAAATAATCCTTAAATAAAAAAAATCCAAGCCAGTTTCAGGGCGTACTGAAGCTGCACTAATCTCAATACCCTTTAGATATTATGCGATATTTTCCTTATTATTCTTAGGGGGCTCCGTACCAGAATAAATAATTGTATTCTATTTTATGAGAGGTACAAATGTCAAAACGTCCATGGAGTTTCTAGTGCTCTCTAACCCAATCAAGATTGTAACCTGAGTGAAGCAGGCATGCGTGTAATCACGAGCTGTATTCATTATTGTTCTTGACTGTATTATGACAACAACACTTGGACAAATAAGATGTGGTTAAGAAGGGACAATTTCCGTCTCCCAGTGCAGAGGTTCAGCAACTTGCAGTGCATGTTGGATACCCTTAGCAAATCACAAGCTAAGTCGGACTGCATATCAATGTAGGCAAAACAAAAGAGATGTGGACAAATAAGCAATAGTAGGAGCCTATAAGTGAGTGATGGTAGGGATTATTCTACATTTCACTTAATGTTTTTCTTATTTTTTAAATATATTCTTTTAATTTAAAAAAATATATATATACCTGAGGACAACTGGTCCCTTTTGACAACATAGACAGCACGTTGTTTTCTTATCTTGCCCAATCATTGGTTTCTGAAAACAAAAATTATAAATCATCTGTGATCTTTACTTCAAATTAAATTGTTTATGTAAGTTCCTTCTCATCTACAGACATGTATATGTAATTATTTTTGTAGCATTGGTTTCTTATTATTAAATTATGCTACATACAAAAATATGATACAATTTAAGTTAATAGGATTTTACAATATATATATATGGCTTACCAGATATTGTTCTTCCATGCAGTCGATGTGTGGGCCAATTATTGTGAAATATTTCATTCCTTGTGGAGGTGAGCAATAAGGAATGTCTACAGTTACCTGAAATAATTGTATCTCCTTTGAAGAACTTATTTCTCTTTTTAAATATTAAACAAAATTTAGTTTCAATTAGCTGCTCATTTGGGCACTATTTTACTTTACCAACTTTATTTAAGATATTTTAATTTGTATTTTCATACCATAAAGAAGAAGAACTTTACTCTAACCATTAACTCTTGGGGGTAACATTACGCTAAAACTAGAATAACTTTTTAGATAAGCAAAAAGTAATGACGTGATAGACTTGAGAATGGCTTCTTATTTAATTATTACTAGTTAGTTTCCTATGAAACTGAACATCATTTCAGGAAGTTGGAAATAAAATAGTGATTCTAACTTTGAAGTGATATTGCCTCCTAACTTGTTAAGTTCCCCTGTATTACGGTATCACCACGGTATCACCTACAATTTACTTTATTGTACCAAAGTAATAATGTTTACTTTAAGAAGTAAGATTTCCACAATATATTTTTATGTTTATTTACTACATCAAGAAAAACTTTCCTCCAATATTGCTTTTGTTAACCCAGGATACTCCTTGTTTACCAAATGGTGACACTGATATACTTTTGGGTGTTATTTTCTAAATTTGGATTGTTGATTGCAAACATTTTTTCATTAGTTATAGTAGCTATTTCATCTTGCCGAATGGTTTTGTAAGAACTTCAAAGTAACTAGCAGGAACAAAGAAAATTTCCAAACGTTGTTGTTTTCTACTTATTCATAACATCTTGGGCTTGTAGAAGTATTCAAATGAACATTATCATCAGTGCTCTAAGTTGAAGTATTTTTATTGAAAGTTATCTATCATTTTTATTAGTATAAAAAAATTGAACCTAATGGTGTTTATAGATTAAAAGTTTAAGTCAACACCTCTTTAACTTAGGTTCCTTAAATTGTTTATGTAAGGGCATACTTACATAAATAAATTAATCTAAGGCACCAACCTCCATGTTCTGTGGCATCGAAGATTTTCGACATCCGCCTACCACATAATATGCAGATATGATGTTCTGGTTAAGATACAATGTTTTCATTGTGGTGTGACTGCATTATTGATCTTAAACTCTTCAAATTAATCGATTCCATCAGTATATACAAGTTCATAAATTGTACTGGGCTGTCTTAACAGAATAGGATGGTGGGTGAATAAAGTGTCATATAATGAGTGAATTTAAAATTAATAGTTTTAAAATGTTTACATTGACTCATATTCATTTACATCATCCAAAGGATAAATAGAAATGAAGATTTAGTAGTTTGCTGCTGTTTGGCGCAACTTTTGTTATGGAATATTGAAAATTTGCCTAATTTTATCACATTTTTTTTATTAATCAATCTTTCTCATAAATGGTCTGTAGGGCTTGTTTTATGCATGTTTTGCATTTCTACTTGATCATTAGAGGAAATTTTTGGTATCAGCTGATCTTTCATGAGATAGTTACTCTAGTACATAAGACCATTTCGTAGTAATCAAGAAGCAAACTTGTTTGTATTACAAGTCTTTATGAAAGTTTTTTTTTTTTTTAGTGCCACAAAGTTGTAGATTACTGTGGAGAGTTTTGTCAATATTATCTTGAAAATTAAAAAAAAATTTTTTTTTGGTTCTGTATAAATAGTTAAATACAATCACTTGATATTTTAAAAAATGATTTAATGACCAAGATTCCGTATGGTGCTCCTTCTTTACTTTATTTATTGTTTCCTTTGGTGAATATTCTTCTGGTCTTGAGGATGTCTTGTGGAGTTATCTATAATTACTGAGTATGTAAGCTTGAAGAAAAAGGTTCATTTATCCTACTTTTCTATTTCCTTTCTGCTCCTATTTTCTTTCCTATTCTGCTCTCTCTCTCTCTCTCTCTCTCTCTCTCTATATATATATATATATATATATATATATATATATATAAATATTACAATACTTTTATAATTCGAACTTTATATATTATATGAGAAGGAGTTGATCGGGGTGCAGTCAATACTAAATTATAGAAATAGTATTATTTAATTATTATGCCGACGTTCCGACCCACCTTGCAGGTCTTCATCAGGGTGTGGGATGTGGCACTGCAGGAGCAGTTGAAACACTTTGAGTGACTTTTTTGACTATTTCTATAATTTAGTATTTATTTGACCGCACCCCTCGATCAACTCCTTCTCATATTATATCACGGTCAACCATCTCTTCATCTTTATATATTATAACTTAAGATATCAATCATAGTTGGGTAATAGGTCATGAAATACACTTAAATAAGTTAAAACAGCTTCTGTTTATTCCTTTTATTCAAACATTTCGATTCGTTTTTTTAACATAAATAATAAGATCCTCTTCAGTTCTGGAAAAACAAAACCTATCATTGGTATAACAATCAAAAGTTTTCATACATTTCTACAATAATACCAAATATTTCTTACTTTTAATTGAGCATCGATATCCCAACATTTGAATAAAAGGAAGAAAAAGAAGTTGTTTTAACTTATTTAAGTGTATTTAATGATCTATTATCCGTCTACAATTGATATCTTAAGTTATATATATATACATACATATACATTTGTATATATAAAATACACTAATTTTTGCTTATTGTATGCATTAAATAAACTAAAACACATAATACATTTAGGAAAAAACATTGATTTAGTTCATGCAAAAGATTTACTGGAAATAAAGTTTTTTTAAATACAATTTTCAGGGGTCATAAGTTTAATTTTGGCATGTGATGGTTTGTAATTGCGGACAAGATTATATCACTAGGGGTGGGAAGGTATGATACTTATATTTAAAAAATGAATTGATGTTTGCGTATTAACCTCAAATAGCTCATTAATAATAGGATTAGGTCCATACTTGAAATACTTCATGGGGAAACAGGAAGGTACCTTAGTCGGCCATGCTTTGAGTTTTAAAAATAACTTACCTTCTTATTCTAGTTTTCATTTATGAGGGTTGTGATATTATGTGAGCAATATTCCAACTACATAACAGCTATCAATATTGTTGAAATAACAAGATAGGTATTGGTTAATCTGTGAAGACTGATTTTTGCTGTAAAATTAAAATATTTATGAAAATATTCATTCAAAGAAATGAATGAAGGATTTTCAACTAAAGGACAACAACACAGATTGTTGAATCCTATCACTTCATATCAGTTTATCAGGACGATTGTTTTAAATGACTAGAAAAGAAGTATTATCATCCGTCATTCTATTAGATACCAACACAAACTATTACAAAAATGAAATTTTGAAATGTGTAAATTAACTGTTGTAATACCTAACTATATCACTTGGATTGCATCTATGTAATTAATCATAGTTGGGGGGTATTAGGCAGCAATTCAGTATCTTACCAGCAGCACATTCACTTTAGTGAAGATGCTAATTTATTGTTGTTATAACTGTGTTTATTATGTTTAATTTTTATTAATATAACTTGTTTGCAAGTAATTCATTTAAAAGAAAAAAGACAAGATATATAAGAAAGGGAAGGTTTAGCAGTAAAGATTAGGTAGAATACTGACACCGAAATTTATCGAATTGAGTTCTACCTTGATGTAGTACCTGATGTAGCCAGGTTTACTCTCGAAGGAGCAGGGTAGAGAACTTTCTGGCAGGTGAAAGCTGAATGGGAACTGATGCAGGCCTCTTGGCAAGATGGGTATTGGGCCTTCAATCTTGTCTGCAACATTCATGTAAACATCAGGTTTTTTCCATACTTTTCAACATTAAGTACAATGTTTTACTTGTAAAATACATATCATACATTATTAAAAAAAATTAATAGTTCTCACTATTAATAAATTGGTTGTTCTCTTTCTCAAAATTATTAATTACATTCATTGCTATCCAGGTCATTTTTTTTTTTCTAGGAATAACAATGTATTGATTTTCTCTTAGGATTACTGAATGTTTCACTCGTATTTGCTGGGTATTAAAAATGAGAATCTCAAGAAGACGGTATTAATAAAAATGTTAAAATTAATAAGTTAATGGGTGGTAATTTTTGTTATCAAATAGTATAGTTAAATCGTTTGGTGCAAACAATTTTAGGCCATTTCTCTGTGTAGGAGAATCAATTTTATCTTTTTATTACTAAATTTCAGCTTATTATTTTTATGCATAAAAAATTAATCTTTGAGATATCTATAGATTATGACCTTATTTTATAGAGAACAATCTTTAAACTTAGAAAAATAAAACAAAATTTTTTATAAAAATTTTTTTTTTAGCATGAAACAATTTTATTAATATAGTTTTTACATTATATGGCATATATATAGCTTTTCTCAGACAAATGGCATGTTATGTACCATTGGCAAGGCCCTTTCTGCCTCCTCACTGGAAGATCTACGGGAGAGATTTGGCTGATGCTCACCCAAAATGGAAAATAATTATTAATTTCCATTGGTCCATGTTTGTTTATGTGAGTGATCTAAGCGTAATACTTAAACAATCATAATATATTCTCTTTTTAAATTATGATGTATATAAAGCTACTAATTGTAAATACATATCAAGAAAAAAAAAATCCATGAAACATTATTGTTCCTGTATCTACTTTATTTTTGGCTTTCAAGGAACACTTAAAGATCATTTCATGTAGGTTTAAAAAACCTAAATTTAAATGCTGGCTCCGCTACTGGTACCCACATTATTTTAGAAGGGGTTCCAACCCAACCAATGGTAAGCAGCTATTTACTTGAAATAACTCACATAAAGTTCAATATACTGTATAATAACAATATGAGAATAGTTATATCATTAGTTGGCCCATGTGAATAATGCACCTAGTATATTGGTCAGTGACTAAATGGCAATATAATATGGAATTAAGTAAATTCTGTACAGGATTTATATTGTGGGTGTACAAAATACAATTGGTTCTACATTTGCTTAAAATAGTCAGAAATGGATTTTGCTTCGATTTTTTTTTTTGTATAGAATTTGAAAATCTTTGAAACTCTATATAGAACCATTAACTGTACACATTCTGTGAAATATAAAATTGCCTTCTCTTCACAATTTTTTCATGATTTTTGTTAAGGATGTTCTTATTTTTAACTTCTGAAAGAAAAGATAATCTTCAAAATGATGGTTCCCCATTTTTTCAACCAAAATCATTGGTTGAACGATAAAATAGTACACAGTACAATAAAATGCATTATTAATAAAAAAGAGGAATGTGGATGTTCCTTCTTACTGCTGGAACACTAGTTTTTCTAATTAATAAAAATAAATGGAAATCCTTTTCATACTCTGCATGTTTTTAGGCATGTATGTATACTGATCACAAAAATATTGTGTTTTAACAAAGTGTGACTGATGGAGTTGGTAGAGTCTAAAGCTAATTCCCAATGTAGGACTTATATCAGACAAATTATTCTTTCCAGTAATTTTGGTTTGTCTTTGACAAGCTATATTTATTAACTTTCTATTAAATGCACTAAAGAATATTTGTCCGGCATCTGCAAATATGCGTTTTGTGGGGTTTAATCTAAACCCCCTTCCAAATTTTATAGGCATAAAGTGACATGCTAGTGGCTGAGGTGATAATTTTTTTTTTCATCCAAAATGTTAAAGTTTTGCATCAGATATAATCTGCATGAATTAAACTTTTTATATTATTTTTTAAACCAATTAGAAATATCTAAGTTGATACAATTTAAACAAACAAAAAAAAATAATAAAAATAAGAATTTAACAATAAAACCAATAATATAAAAACACATTTTGATTAAGATTGTCAAAAACGTTATTATTAGCTCTTAATCAACATAGACTACAGACCAAGACATTAATCAGACATAATTAATGCAACTTTACAGGAAAAATAAAATGTACATGAAAGTTGATTTTATACTGTTCAATTTATATCCTAGAATATTCAAATAAAAAAAATTAATCTGGTACTTCTAATGTGAACAACATGAGAAGTAGAACTGCTGCTGAGGTAGGGAGACGCCTTTGAGTGGCACTTAAATCTCATTGACTGAAGGCTCACTTAAAGGAAACCAGCTTCGGCTGCATATTATCTAGCCTTGTAGAAAAGCCTCTTGAAAGCAGAGGCAATATAATAACTGTGCCATTATATCAATGGGCTCATGAACTAGAATATGATTTTAATCATCCACTTCTTTTTTTTTTTTTTCAGTCCCTGTTGCTCCTATCTCCTGGATATAATAATCAATTTTCAAGGTTTTATTTAAACTTAAGCTTTTTTTTCAAATTACAGGTAGTTTCTATAGTTAAGGTTTACTGATAAATTACTCCATATCAAACTTGTTGTGGTCAACAACTGAGTTATGAATCTGCATTACCAGTATCTAACCCAGAAGGGGAGAAAAGGAGGTTATTTCTCTACCCAAAAGAACCAATAACATAAAAAAAAAAAAGGTCTGTTTGAAATATCAGAGGTTTATTGCAAATAGTCACTAAGTGCATTTTTTCAAATTTGTTTTTGTGAATTTCGACCTTATCGGTCGCTCTATCCCGTCGTTTTATATGTAACTCAAAATTTTGTGAAAAGTAGAGTTAATTTTTTTAATTCATTTATACAAAAACTTTGTCATTTTTATACTAGACCCAAAAAATGAGAATGGAAAAGTTTTAGCTCGACAAAAATATAAATACAAATATTTACGAAAATAATATACCAAATATTGTGGAAAATAGCAAACTTCGCAAATATCTGGGATCCATAAATCTTACAAAAAAATTAGTGTATTTTAAAACTGCTTATAAAGGGATAGGGCATTACCAAGACATTCTTGATTAAATAGATTTTTGAAAAGTAAGGAAAATAAAAATCCTAGATTTACCAACATGAGAATAGGCTGGTTTAGAAAAATCCTTATTTAAAGTTGAGCCCATTACACAAATTATGTCTATAGTTCAGTAAGGCTTATTTTAAGATATGTAATTTAGCATTTTTTTTTTTAATTTAAGTAATTGTGTAACAGAGTTTAAGATAATTATTTCGTTTTTCAATTTGTTAATATTTTGATCATATATTTATAGACAAAAAGTGTTATGGTTCTCTAAAATAATAAATTTTATGATGAATAAGTGGACATGCAAAAATATTTTTTATTTAGAAGACTTGTTTTCAGTATTAACATGAAAAATATAATAATATAAATTAAAAAATAGTAATTGTAAAATAATACACTTTTTTAATGCATATTTGTTTACCTTTTCTTAAATATTGTTTCTCATCTATTGAATGAATGAAGTTATAGATTAAATATGCTATAAAAAAAATTTTTGGGCAGACATGAAGGTGGGCAAGTTACCCTGAAACGTTGTTTGATGTAACAAAGAAAAAATAAATAAATAAAAGAAGTTTTCGGAGGGTAAAATTGTTTTCCTGATATATTATACAACAATAAATTATTTTAAAAAACAATGGGTAGTGTCTTATCTTACCATGACCCCATATGACTGCTCGATCGTCTATGATGTACTGGTCGTCTCTTAGAACACGACGGTCTCCAGAAACCACTACCTTCCATTCTGAATGTGCCTTTCCTCTCAAGAGAACGCGGATAGCTGTGAACATATTTCATTCCCTTGAATCGTCTTGTTAAATTTCAATTCTGTGTCTGTATAGTAAAGTATTTATTTTAAATTGGATTATTTATTTTTAACCAAATTACCTCTACCAAGCAGTATAGCTTCCTCACCATTTTGGTTGCGTACGAAATAAAAATACGCATATATGGATAAACTTCATCATTAATGAATAAGTAAGATTATAATGTTATTTAAAATCCATAAAAGGGAATAATCCAATAAAGACCTGACTAATAAATTGCATTAAATCAAAAACTTATATTACCTTCCATTGTTATATATTTACTTCACATTTTGTAGCCATTATATTTTTAACTAGAACCTGAAATTTAATTGCTTATGGAATTAATGGAATCGATACCAGACAATTTGTTCTCCAACGTTGGGCCAATTCGTAAAAGTCGCTTTTTATTTAAAATATATTGAGGAAAATCCTTAAGCGAAAGTAGTGGATGGGATTTGATATAATTGATACTGTATCGTTTTTCCACTTATCCCTAACTTTCCTCTACACTTAAGCCTAGTCGAGCGAACCATTTTTGATATATTGGCGTATCAGAATACATTCGCGCATACTCAAGCGGAAAGTGTCGATGAATTTGATGAAATGTTACAATTAGTGTCGGCCTTAGTGCAGAGATATGCAAATGCTTCTCTTAGTACTGAGCACCAAGTATTTTATTCAAATATTGACACTTCATAAGTACCAAAGTATTTAATTCCCAATAGTGATACAATTTGAGTAAAATACTTGGCAGCATCGGTACTCAGAGTAGCATTTGCCCATGTCTGCCTTAGGGTGGTTCAATGGCCCCGGGAAGCCGTCAGGGGCATTAGAAATTATAAAAAAAATACTAAATGTACTAAAATAATTAATTTTAGTCTATTAATAAAGCAACTGTATCAGAGAAATATTGAATGAAATAACATTAAAATAGTGCATAATATAAAACAGCTTAAGAAATAAATTAAAATTTTTTAGAGAGAGAAAGATGACGTCATTGCCCGGGCGGCGCCGAATGTCTAAGGCCGGCACTGGTTACAATTCCTGAAAATTGTATAGACATCGGATTAATGAGCCGATATGCTTCTCATATGGACTCGACTACAAACAGACTGATACGCAACAAAGGATGTCGCCATTTAATCGATATCTATCTATAGCTTCGATTTGTTCGATATTGTCCAGTATCGATATTATCATAATATCGAAATAAAAGTGCCAATATCGGATTTCGATTTTGCACGTTATTACTTTCTTATTTAGAAGTTTAAATAAGTATCTTTGATTAAATACGAGAATATAAAACTTAATTTCGTAAATACATTTTTTAAGCAAGACTATACTCATATTTTTTCATTATTATTTAATTGATACTTGTATTTTGAGGTAAATTACTTCATAAAAACCGTAGATACAGACAATACGATTTTATTTGAATTATACTGTTGATTTTTCAACACTATTTATGTCTCTTCAATTTTAAATTATAAAAAAAAAAAACGCTACAAATTATTTCACAATGGTTTATTATCTCCAAAGAATTATACATCTAAAGTAACATTACCTTCCGAGTTACAAAGAAAAAAAAACAAGAGGTGATTCCAATTATTGGACTAAACTGTTTTTCTTTAATCATTAGTAATATGCTAAAAAAAAATAGCATTAGTTCAGTAAACATTAACCATTTAGTTCAGTAACATTTAAAATTTAAAAACCAAACCAAGGATATAACATTTGGAGTAGAACACATAAAAAAAAATGGAGACCATATCTTTGCTCCTAATTGTCCGATTTTAACGACTTTGTTTTTTAGGAAATTTTGTAAGCTTTTAAAAAACTAATACAATATCAACAAAAAAGTAAAAACTTTTCGAGTTATTCGGAATTTAATTTTACCATCCCTCGTAACTTTTTTTCCAGCTTCTTTTCGTTGAAGTATGTTATATAGATAAATTTAAAGGGCGTCGAGAAAATGACTTTAGCGAAGTTTCATTGAAATCTGTACATTCTTTTAGGAGCTACAGTCTATAGCAACGTTTTTCGGCCGTCATTTTGAAAGTTAAAGGCGGAGAGTAATGTCGATGAAGGAAGATCATCCTAGGGTGACCTCTGATTTTATATCAAAATTTGAAAAAAAAAATCGGTTCAGTAGTTTCAGAGAAAATGCGCGGACGGACAAAACAATTTTTGTTCGTTTTTCGAATTCTACGCGTCTCAAAACGTGAAACCTCAAATTTTGAGAGGGGGTTATGTTTTTAACTTTTTTGGTCGATCACAATGTTTCATTATTGAAAATAATAAACCAAAAAGAAGGACAGGATCAATTTTTTAATCACATCTAGTTGTTCGGAAATTCCACTTTTCTCTGTTGTTTATTATGATCAATATGAAAGGTAAAATTTGTTATTAACGAATAACGTAAGCAATCATATTTATACTGATTAGAACGGAATTCTGACTAAATTCTATTCTAAGTGATGGGATCATTTCATACTCGAGATATAACAACAAATCTGTTTCCTTCTTGTCGATTAAGTACTATCAATTAATTACTTGAGACGATTGTATGTTATCTAATTATTAAATAACATCTTTCAGAAAATTGTGATTTTTATGTTTTTTACCTGAAGTCCTTAACTTTTAAAATATTGACTCCATTGTCATTGGAGTGGTTTCATTCAATCGAATAAAATTAGCTTTAATTAACGATATCTTACTCGACTATGTGAAAACTATTTTGCAAATATATAGCTCCTATCACAGGCGGACCCACGGATGGAGGGAGCTTCCAGGTTGAAGACCATCCAAAATGGTAAAATATAACCATGTTTTATGAAAAAAATATTTCTAAAAGTATTATTGTTCGTCTAATTACATTTAATAGGACTCAATTAAGGATTTAATAAGAATCAATTAAGCACCATTTCATATAGATATTTAGTTTCGTTCTTTCTTCCGAAGTAATTACCGTAATATATACATAAAAAAAAATATTTCGGGCTGAAACCCCTAAAATTAAATTCTGGATCCATTAGTTGCTCCTATTCCAACCTTTACATATTATTGGTCGTTCCTCTAAAATTTTGGACGGACTTTGCATTAGTGTTGTTCAAAATCGGTCTTGCAAAGTGCAGACCAAGACCGATTGAAAAACCAAACCAAACTTGACCGTTGAAAAACCAAGATCAAGACTAGTAAAAAAAATAGTTTTTGTAATTTAAAATTAAGGCAAAATAATTACTAATACTTGACAATTTTCGTTACTATATGTAAAGAATTGTATAAGCAATATACTTTTGCATTTAACTCCTCCAATTTTTCATTCGGGATTAATTAGGTTTCCTCTATCTGAAAAATGACAGTAATACCTCTATATTAATAGGCTAATAGGTAACTGCAAGACTTGCGCAAGACCAAGACCAAGACAGAGTGCGTAAGATCAAGACTCGTTTTGGTCTCGCATTTGGGCAACACTATTCTGCATTCCCACTGCAAAGGCGAATTATATATGTTCAAAGTTTACTAGTTTATAGATATGCAAAGTTTCAGGAATATACAAATTTTATCTGCAATTTATTAATTTTTTGTTGATTTTTCCAGTACAAACTGAGAATAAATTATTAATAAGATTATTTAATTATAATACCAATGTTTTATACTACTACTTTTCTTAATTTTTAATTATTTCAACGTATCCAGCGTTCCCTCTAAATAAAAATATCATTTGATATTGACAAAATCAATATTTTTGATTCAATATTATAATATTTATTTTATTTACTGTACATAGAGTATGAATGTGATCTGTGAACACTATTATAAATGTCCTTGAGACAGATTGTAATATTTTTCAATAAATAGGATTAAAAAGCAAAAAAAAAAAATATTAAAATAATGTTGAAACCATACCGAATTTAATCAAAATCATTAGAGACGTTTTCGGCAAAATTTTAAAATGTGTTCCACCGTTGATATAAAGTGGCATTTCCGGTTAGCCGATTTTAAGGAAAAAGTTGCTGTCACATCTAAGGCATATTCCTATCTTAAATACGTAATATCAGTTTTGTAGGACTTTTAGTTTTTGAGCTAGACTGTTCACAAACACACAGGCCATTTTGCGGGACTTGGTTATTAGGACTCAAAACCTCAAAACATGTATTTCCGTTGAAAACTCAGATTCGAAAATCTTCACGGTCGCAATACTTACTCTTACTGTATATTGCATACATAGGTAAATGAAAGTAAAAATAAATATGTGTGCGGGCACGCGCGTATGCGAGTGTGTATTATATATTTATCCAAAACGTTCAACTGCGCAAGAAAAATATTAACAGTGATGCAAAAAAAAAAAAAAAAAAAATAGATATATTAAGTCAACATAATTATTGTTTAACGAACAAATATAATATTGAGTATTTAAAATGTATTTGTTTACATGCTTGTATAATTGTAAGGTTTTTATCAATTTATTTTTTTGTTCTAGTTATTATATATACTTAACAATATCTAAACAATACAATTAAATATATATCGTATTTGTTAGATCAAAGGCTGGAGGGAGGGGAGACAGATTTCATAACATTGGTGCCTTTCTAGAACTTTTTCAGCTTAAAATGAATAATGTAAAAATTAAAAAATATCATTCATTTCTTAGTGTGTTCAACCTCAAATAAAAATGCAACGTTTTTCACAGTCTGACTAGTTTGCCGCGGAAAAAGGGATAAGAATATTATAAACCTTATAATATCACGTGAAAATTGAGGGATGATGGAATCATACAATTCTAGGATTTGTTGATAAATATAATTATCTTTGAACATAAATGTAAATTTAAATAAAAGTAACATTCATGTATCAATAAAATAGTTAACTACCTACTATTAGGGCCTAGCCTAACCAGCCAGTTGACTTTTCTTAATCGATTTTAGTTTACACATTTTATTCATTCATGTAGCTTATTTATTATTAATTT